CAGAAAATATGATTTCAGCAACAAAGTGCTTAATGCCTGGAATGCTCTACTTGACTCCATTGCTACATCCTCAAACCCCCCACAGCTTCAACCTCAAATTGTCTACCCTGGACCTCACCCGATTCCTAAGAGGTCTGTAAAGGGGACGTGCATAAGAGTACCAGCATGCCTAACATCTCCTATCCTACTGTTCCCATTTATTTGTACCCATTTCCTGTGTTCAAGTCCATGTTTATGCTTATACCTGTTATCTTTTACATGTTTGACAAACTAAATAAATAAATAAAATAAAAACATTGATCTCCTGCAAAATCCTCACTGAGCCAGCCATGAGTTTGTTATCTATCAGTTTGTGAGAGACACATCTGCCTAACTCCAAATTTAACACGCAGTCTTCCTTTGCAAGGATCTACAATTTGCAGCTTTAGGGACAAAGATTTCCTATAAGAGAATATACCCCGCAGATCCCATCTCCTGAAGAAACTGCAATGTGACAGATGGGAAATATAGCTCTATTAATGTATTGAATCCTATTTAACTTTCATTTAAAATAAATGTTAATCAAACCAAATGTAGCTTTTGCCTTGAGCTCATTCACATTTTAGAGGACATCCTTCAAACCAGTTGCAGCTCACAATCTGTAAATGATGCCAACTTTTTTTATTTATACTACAATGAGGCTTATTAATTAATCTTACCTCTGTCATCCAGGTGCTGTTTTAATTATTTTAATGTCTTGATTAACTTGTTATTATGTTATTTTGCTTTTAATTAAAGAGAAGGAATGTAGGGAAGCACGAAGAATGGAAAACTATGGAAACATACATATTTAAATGTATCAGAGAAATAAGTGTATAAACTAAATATTGCTCTTGGCAAAAATCTAAAAAAAAACAATAGAAACTGATGTTTACCTACAGTGTCACAAGAAGATAAAAAAATATGGGTGTTATGCTCTTTTGCGGGGTTCGATATGGATGTTAAAATGTTTTCATGGGAAACTGGAAGAGGGGATGAAGTAAATAATTTAAAATATGCAACAGGTAGCCCTTCAGTTTATGATAGTAGGGCTTTTTTCAGAATGTGTAAAAAAAGTTTCAAATAAGATGGAATTAAAAATTCAACAACAAAATATATGAATTGTGTTATGTAGATGGCTCCAAAGGCTTTAATAAAACAATCCCAATTATAAAAATGGCCAAAACAGATATTTTACCTGGGACTTAAGGAAGGCAATATTGATGCCAATTGTGCCTTTCTTTAAAAGTGTGCATAAACATGCAAGTCTTTTAGTATTCAGTTAGTTTCCCTTGGTAAACATTGCTTAAAATGAAGAAATCTTCCTTCCATACAAATTTAAATGATTCTCGTGATGTTTTTTTTTTATCAATGCTCATGCAATTTTTCTGTTTCTTTGCAGCAATTTGGTAAAATCTTAGATGTTGAAATTATTTTTAATGAGCGAGGCTCAAAGGTAAGCAACTGAATACACTTGTGGAAATGTTTAATAGATTGAAAGTGTTTACTGAAAAATCAGAGGAAGCAAATATGCAACAGTATTAAAAACCCCTTGAGTAGCTCCTTTAAACAGAGACACCTACGATGCTCAGGTGTTTGAGGGGATGAGGGATGTCATTTACCCAAACAGCATGAAATTTATTGGTCTAATTTTGAGCCCCTTACAAAGGATAATTTTAACTAAGATAAGCTGCCACCGGTTAAATATGAATATTGCTTTCTGCTTTTAAATATAATCAAGTGTAGTCTGCTGGATTCCTTTCCCATCTCCAATAATTGCCATATTCATTGTGAGATTAGTTCAAGCTTGCAGTGAGGAGAGATAGGTCATTAGAAGAGTTATACTGCTCTTGAAATGGAAGCAAATAATATAATTTAATATCTTCTCAAGCAATTACTCGATCAAGGATGAATTATGAAATTGCCAGTGTTTGCATGTTTAGTGAAAATTGTTTCTGAATTTAAAGAGATGTTTTCGTTGTCCTAATTTGAAAGGCGAAAGATTTTCCCAACACTCACATCGCATACTTAATTTCCATTTGAACCCACATATACAGTTGGTCCATTTTTCTACACTGTGTTATGCTGTTGTTATGTTATACTAGATTGTACAGCCAGATTGATAAATTATCTATCCAGTGGAATGCAGACATAAGCTTTTCGCTCACACTTCGTAGGGATATCCAGTGAGGTGTGGGTGAAAAGTTTCAAGATGGCAGTTGTGCAGTTGTGACTGCACAATCAAAACCCCACCCCCTTGTGCTTTGCATATACATAACTTCAACATATGTACAGCGTTGGGGGGAGGCTTTGATCATACAATTGTGACCTCTCTCTTATGACTTCATATGAAGCCCCTGCAGGCTCATTTAATCTGTACTATATTTACTTTATTTTAGATATCACCTATCAACCAGAAAAATGTGGTTGCCCAAATATAATTAATCAGTGAGGCTCACAGGATTCTCCTTGCTGCCAAATTAATCATTAATCCTATAAAACAGAATAGTAGCCTTACAAATAGTCCTTGATATAACAACTGTAATGGAGCTTGCCCATTATGATTATATGTTGTAACAGTCTTAAAACGGGTCAGTCATGTCACGTAACCGACCTGATTTTATAACTTCTTTTGTGACAGTTGTTAAGATAACATAACAGTTGTAAAGTGCTTGCCATGGTCCTTAAGCGAATACTGTAGTCAATAAAAGAACAAATGGTTTGCTATGGACAAGATTTTGCCTCAAAATTGAAAGTAAGTGTCATTCTTTGGGGGAAAAAACATTGTGGGACACTGCAAATAAAAGCAACTGTGACTGGATGAATCCTGCATCCAGTTTTGGTCGCCACAATGTAAAAAAGATGTTGAGACTCTAGAAAGAGTGCAGAGAAGAGCAACCAGGATGATTAGGGGATTGGAGGCTAAAACATCTGATGGACGGTTGCAGGAACTGGGTATGTCTAGTTTGATGAAAAGAAGGACCAGGGGAGACATGATGGCAGTGTTCCAATATCTCAGGGGTTGCCACAAAGAAGAGGAAGTCAAGATATTCTCCAAAGCACCTGAGGGCAGGACAAGAAGCAATGGGTGGAAACTAATGAAGGAGAGAAGCAACTTAGAACTAAGGAGAAATTTCCTGACAATCAGAGCAATTAATCAGTGGAACAACTTGTCTCCAGGAGTTGTGAATGCCCCAATGCTAGAAGTTTTTAAGAAGAGATTGAATAACCATTTATCTGAAATAGTATAGGATTTCCTGCCTTAGAAGGGGGTTGGACTAGAAAGCCTCCAAGGTCCCTTCCAACTCTGATGTTCTATTATATTCTGCATTGCCAAGCAGCCTAGGTTTGGTCACATGACCACATAAGGGGGCCAATGATTGGGATTTTGAATCTAGGTCATCATTAGTCCCTTTTTGGGGGGTTGGTCATAACTTTGAACAGTCTTTGAATAACTAGTCATAAGGACTACCGTTAATTAGACTGCTTATGCCTGAAACACAGGGGCCCTTTCAATTGCAACCTTTGGTCTAGTGACTCTTTGAAGTTACAAAATGACCTCCAACTGTTTTTCACACCATTTCAGCATCCCCATTTAATCAGAATTTGGGGGGTTGGCAATTGACATGATGGTCGCAGTACCTCAGTTATACGGGATCACCTTTGGTGACTTTCTGACAGCATAGTTAAAGGGGCAGCCTGATTCACTTTGCAACCACGTGACTAACTTAACAACTGTGGTGAGAGAAGTCATGAAATCGGGGTGATACTCAAGTTAGCAAATGTTTCGCTTAGCAACAGGAGGTTTGGGCTGAATTGTGGTCATAAGTTAAGGATGACCTCTATAGTGATTTGAATCCCTAGATCCTTTGAGGCCAAGCTGAGATCTTTCTCAGGCCATTGTTACGATTGGGAAGGACCTCTGCTCCAACGGAGAAATTTTCATGAGTCCTTGCACTGTGCTTTGGTGTTATTGTCCAGTGCCTAACCTCAAGGTTCTGATAGAAGAGAATATTTGTAGCTCAGAGTTGACCTTGTCAACTCCTTGATTCCCCTCTGAGCTTGGTGGCTTTCTTGCAGATGTTTCATTACCAGACTAGGTGACACCATCACCAAGCACTGAAGATGTTACCTAGTTTGGTAATGAAATGTCTGGCAGGAAACCACCAACCTCAGAGAGCACAAAGGACGCCACAGTTTCTTCCTTTCCTTTCCTTTCTTTTCCTTTCCTTTCCTTTCCTCCTCTCCACTCCTCTCCCATCCTTTCTTCTCCTTCTCCTTCCTTCCTTCCTTCTCTTTTTCTTCTTCCTCCTTCTCTCTCTTCCTCTCATTACTTTGGGTAATGAAACATCTGCAAGAAAACCACCAAGCTCAGAGAGCACAAAGGGCCAGCCATCTCAAGGTTTTCAGCTCTCTATCCATACCCTCAGAAGTTTACATGTCAACATTACAGACATATAGTGGCTTCCCTTCAAATTCTCAACTCCTGTCTCTGAGAGAATCCAGTCATGTTAGCTCTCTTTGGGGTCAAAAGTTTTAAAGTGATGTTGCCAATGTCTCCTGTTATATCACAATGTCACTGATGTACATGATGTGAATATGTTCTGTTTCTCTTCCTTTGTTTTTGCTTTGATTATCAAGGAAATGTCACATTTTTTTCTGTCAAAGTGGTAAACTTGGAAGTTGAAGCTGCCAGATTTCTATCAGTTCCAATGTGTAGAGAGCTGGTATGAATTGCTTAAAGTATTATGCTAAATACATTTTGGAAGGGTGAGTTATTGGATTAGTAGTTTTTTCATTAAAACATTGAGTCCAGGTCTCCCAATTTGAGAATATTTTGTATTTGGGGTTCCAAGTTGTGCAGTCACAGCTGAAGTATTCATTTCATTGCTGGCAGCAAACGTGGGAGGCTGTCTGAAGATGTGTCCCACAGTAAGGAACATAATAAATTATGGGATATTGCTAATGGATGAGAGCCAGCTGGGTGTAGAGTTTAAAACCCCCAGGCTAGAAGATGAGATACCGTGAGTCACAAAACAAGCTGGGTGACCTTGGGCCAGTCATTCTCTCTCAGCCCTACGAAGGATGCAAGGGCAACCCACTTCTAAAATCTTGCTAGAGAAAACTGCAGGGATTCATCCAGGCAAGTCCCAGGAATCAAAACAGACTCAAAAGTACCAAAGGGGGGGGGGAGTTAATTGATGTCTAGAAAACAAGAAATTCAAGATTGTCTCTCAAAGATGCTTTTTCAGGAAGCAACTGGACTGTTGCTGTGTTTTTTTCCTTGAGAAAGAAGAAGAAGACAATGTTTTGCTTCTCATCTAAAAAAGCTTCATGGGGGGGAGGGGTGTTGGAAGGATCCTTTTTTTGCAGTCCTCTGGTCATTAGCACTCTCCCTGAGCTCTTGAAGCCCCTTGGCAGTTTCTCTGTGCCCTTCACGATCACCTGAATCAGCAATTGGTTGTGGAATCATCTTGGAACTGGTGAAAGCACTGTGTTTTAGACTGGAGATTGGGGATATCTTATCCCTCCCCCCTCAGTTGAGAGATGGCTACTCATTGTTAACATAAAGAGACCAATGGTTCTCTCTGTCCAGAATGTTGACTTTGCTGTCTTCAAAAGAGTGGGCTTTGTCTTTCGAATGCAGATGGACTGCTGAATCCAATCCTGGTGGGTTGGTTCTCCTATGTTGTGCCATTTGTTGGGAAGGGTCTTCTGCACGGATGCCTTAATTAAATCATGAGCCTCGAGCCAAGCTTCAAAAGAAATCCAGTTATTTATTAGGCGCCAATGTTGGACATGTTCCCAAGTGAAGCCACTCTGACCCCATGTAATTTACGGCCCCAACAATGACCCTGTTTTCCTCCTCCCCAGAGTGTGTCATCAATCACATTCGCCAACAGGGCAATTTCTCACATTGTAGAGATCACTCCCCTCCGGCTGCTGTAAGTAACCCTGAAATACAGCCTTGGGAGAGAGAAGTCTGGAATGTGCATCTGTCTTTTGCTGCCATGCCATTTCATCGGATTCCCATCCCCCCTTTCCGGTGGCAACTCGAGAGCAGGCCAGGGATGCTTTGTGAGTTGGCATTACACATGTCTCATTGCATTGCATTGCATATAGCACATTGCTCAGCTAAATAGTTGTTGCCTTTTGGGAAAAAAAACTACCTTTGAGATGACTATGACCTGGATGACTGAGAATCTCCATAGGGAAAGTCAAAATCTCTTTCTCTGAAGTAAAACACCACTTAACTTAAGCTTGGGAGCAAATCAGATACGACAATTAGGAATCAAGGCAAAACTGCCAGATCAAATAAAGATTAAATCCCTACCCTGTTCCTCCCTACCCTGTGCAATCTTTGCTAAAGATTGTAAAATCAGGTGGGAAACGTTACAGGGAGTTTTAAAAAAATTAAAATAATGTTTTCAGAAGAGAATAATTAGAGCTGTGCAAATCTCCTTGCTATTCATCTTTTTAATATCCCCCAAAGACTTAAAATGTAGTCAAATTTATTCAAGGGTCCCTGGAGAATCTCAATTCATTCCAAGGGAGTGTCATGGGGAAAGATCATTTTCTCACTGGCACACGTCTCGTCAGTGTGGCTGCTGAGTATGGGAAAACTTAGCAGACTCTCAAGAAGGGAAATTCCATTGTCAGGCTTCTAAGTAACACCCCCAATGAAAGAAGATTCTGACACTTGAGTTTCCTCAAAGTTCCATTTTATTAGAGATGTCCTATTGGCACATCTGGAAACACCTGAATCTGAAAGCCTCCAGGTTTTCCCTACCCAAACGAAAGTCCAAGTCCCTGCCCAGCACCTTCATGTCCATCACATGGTCTAATCAGGCACTGTCCAAAACTGGAGATGGCTCCCAGTCACGCCACTCAAGGTGTAGGTCAAGATGTCCTTGACTCTCTGAGAAAGGAATGCTATTTTGACTATATATAACCCACACTCTGCTTAATCCCCCCTCCCATTTTCCCACAGTGGAAAATGTGGTAAGCCTGAAGGCCCAAATGTAAAAGATGGTTTCCAGGCCTGACAACCATCTCACCATCCCATAGAATTTTAAGGGTCCTCCAAATTAATGTCAGTGTTCCAAATAGCATCCAAAAGTAAATAAGGCAAAGTATTGCTCAAAGTTCCAATTTATTAAGAGAGACATGTTGGCATATCTGGGAAAATCCAAATCTGAAAGCTTCCAGATTTCCCCCACCCAGTTGAAAGTTCAAGATCTTGCCCCCCAAGATCTTGGGGTGAGCAGGCAAGCGAGTGAGCGGTGACAGGGGGACCGGTTCAGGAGTGTGGCCAGCTGGCCATTGCTATCGGTTCTCTGACCTGGGGCAAATTGCTGCCACCGGTTCACATGAACTGGTGCAAACCAGCTGAATACCATCTCTGCCAAGGAGCTTTAGAGTCAGGTTTCCCCAGATGTGCCAATATGACCTACTTGATAAATCTGTACTTTTGAGGAAATATTTGAGGAATAGGCCAGCCGTGGAGTTCTGATTCTGTTGGAACTCTTGACACCCCACTAGATTCTTGTGTTCCATCCCAATCTTTGGGATGGTTTTTCTCTTACCGTCATTCCCAAAACTAATAAGAAAAAAGCAGATTTATGCAATTTATCAATTCATCCTGCCAGTGCACAATAATGTAGCCAAATCACTTCTGAACAGCTTAGTTGTCTCCCAAAGTGGAAAACACCCCAACCAAAAGGATCTTTTTTTTATCAAAGTGAGCTTGTTCTCTTCCAGAAAAAAAATCCCACTAAAAAAAAAGATATGCCCAAACTCTTTTATCAATTTTGATTTTATCTCCATCATTTTAGGGATGTAGTGAAACCAACACAAAAACATGACAATAACTTATTGATACATAACTTCTATAGGAAAACCTCTCATTGGCTTTTTTTTTGTTGAGAAACTCTATTTCTTATAATATATCACATTCTCCAGAATAGCATGTAGGGAAAATCTGTTTTTCCCCCTTCCACGCTATTATGATTTTTATCTCTCTTTTTCCCTCTCATCCAAAGTAGAAATGGATCCATGGATGGATTGGTGATAGATAGATAGATAGATAGATAGATAGATAGATAGATAGATAGATAGATAGATAGATAGATAGATAGATATTTAGATAATGTTCTGCTTTAGCAAATGAATTTGTTTGTGCATGTGTTTGTGTATCTCTGTGCATATATCCATTTGCTAGAGCAGCAATTTGTGTTGGAAAACATTCTCAGTGGATCAAATGAAGATATTCTAAGTTGAAGAAGGATCTTCCTTTGGATGTATCCTTCTCCTGAAATAATCTCAACTCTTGTTCTAGTGATAGTCATAGTTATGCGGAGAATCAAGAAGTGAGTGTTATACTTCAGTGGAAAGCCAGCCCACAGTTCTGCTGCCTTCTTTGAAATACATAAGGGATCTAATATGTGCTGTTGCCAAGACAAAAATCTTCCAATTGTTGCTCCTTTGAGAAATGACCACAGCATGGTAGATCAATGTTTGTCACCATTTATGATTACTTGTATTGGATTTGGGTGGTAAGATTTGGTGGGAATACATTGGCCAATACATTTAGAGATGGTCTTTTATTTCCATTATGGGCAACCTGCAAATGTTTTCTATTCACCCCAAGCATAATACTGTAAGCAAATTCTAGTAATGAATAATTAATCATTCTGATATGCAGTGAATTGATGAAGGTAACCTTGGACTTCCTTACATCTTATCAACCAAGGTGTGAACCAAGTAAAAAATGCCAACATCTCCTTAATGGAGAACCGACATATGCCATGAGTTAACCACAGAAATATAGTCAATTCGGCAATTTACCCAATTTCTCTATATTCATCTACTTGGGCAGGAAAAAAAAACAAAAATAAATCTGCATTTTTTTAAAAAAAATCAGTTCTCATCTGGACTAATGAAACTCTTTCCAAGAAACTGTTATTGGCTGAATGGGATGTTTTTACGTTTATTTAACAACCAAGAAAATGTGTGTGCATGTTGTGGCCCATCAGATGAGGAGGAGATTGAGGGAGAGACTGCGTGAACTTCAGAGCCTTTGGAAGATTGTGATAATGAAACAGTATCAGAGGCAGAGCTGGGGACCTTCTGTCCTCTCCCAGGTGGAGAGGCAGCTGTTTTCGGGACCTGAGCAGAATGAGGGGGAGGAACAGATGCAGCCCATCCCAGGTGCACATATGTGCAGAGAGGAAACGAGAGGAGAGTGAAGGAAATCAATAAACCGGCTTCCAGGAAAAGGAAGAAGCAGATGCTAGCCAGCCCCTCCATGGCTGGGAAATAAATAGAAGGGTTTGGGAAGTGGCCGGTTGTTGCAGACAACTATTTATTTCTAGTATACAGCAAGCAATTCTGATTCCTTGGCCAGAATCAGGTTTGTTAGGACTAATTAGTTGGATTTTTTTTTGTTTATCCACATGAACAAAAGACCGTTAGTGCCCTGTTATAAAAAGGGGGTTGTTTTACTTGTGAGTAAGCAGCTTATCATTACATGTGAAGGCTGGTTCAGAACAGTGTATCTCATTTTGTACTGTGTGACCAGAAAATCAGAAATCAGCTGCTAAAAAACAAATCCTGCTTTCAGAAGTTATGGGGGGAATTTTTCCTTGCAATGGTAAAAAATATGTGTAGCTCTGGAATGCAGTGTAGATTTTTTTCTGAACTTAGTTGTTCATTTTCTGAGGATTCCACAGCCACACAGATAATATATTCAGGGCTGTGATCCTAGAGAACGTCTTCAGGTTATTAGAGTTTTTCTTAACCCAGCAGCAATGCGGAGATGTTATCTATCCAATTTCTCCACCCACAAATTAGGCAGAGTCAACTTTGGTGTCCTGCTCTCTTTTTAAAATAAAATAATCTAAAAACTTAAATGGGAAGCTAGCCTATTGCCAATGATCAGCTTCTTGGGCGTTTCTTTTTGGATCAAAATAATATATTCCAGAGAGACCTCATTATAATTCTTAGAAAAAATTGTTGCAAATTGGTAAATTGTTGGTAGCTTCCATGCATTGCTTTCTTTGGAAATGTCCACCTGTTCATGACAGCTGCAACAATAGCAACAAAAAAGAGAAGAAAACCATGTAATTATAAATAGACCTCATTTTTAGGTTGTCAGGGGTGGGCGACAACCACCTCACCAACTTGCTTTTGAGACTTTGTTCTATTGTAATAACCATCTGTAAATGTCCAAGCATCTCAAGGTAGCCACTTGGTCAGAATGTTCTCCAAATTCTGGACCTGTTCATTGGCTGGATAAAAGAAAACCCAGTGTTCTTCCTGATTGACAGTGAGCTCTCAAATTTATTTCAAGAGATGGGCAAACAAACTCGGTTTCAACATTTCACTGCATATAGAACACAAACTATATCAATCAACCATGTGACAAATGCCTACTATTATTGAATGAAAAACACTGCAGATATTGTTCAGGAATGATTATTTGCCCTCTGATCTGTATTATCTATTTATTCATACTACATGATTATATTAAATGTAGAAAGATTATGTTTAGTTTCAAACCCAATTCTGTTTGGTTGGTAGTTCTTTTTTGTTTGTTTGTTTGTTTCCTTCTTCTTTGTTTCCCCTCCTCTCATTTTATTTTCTTTAAGACCAAAAGAAGTAAATACAGTAGATGACATCCCAATTATAAACAACTCCAGTGTTGCATGTGAGAAATTATTATTCTATTATTATTATTATTATTATTATTATTATTATTATTATTATTATTATTATTATTATTATTATTATTATTATTATTATTATTATTTTGCTCCACAATGACACATCGAACTAGTCAATATATTCAATTGGGTTTGCATTGAGTGTTGAAATCGGTACCCACATTTTAATTTGCACAAAGTTTATTATTCTGTTGATCAGATCTGCATGCCTTTTAAACAGTGCTTCACTTTTTTTTCTCTCTCTCATCCTTTTCTTACTTTTGTTTTCAATGTGATGACATGGTTCCATTGATTTGAACTTGTTTTGTTTTTTTCTTTTTTTATTAGATTTCTTTTCCCCTGTAGTGAAAATTTAGAGAAAAAAAATGAAAGGTATTTGGTGTTCATTCTTTGCTATTCTTCAGGAGACAATAAACTAACTCGTGAAAAGAAAGATTTAAAAAGTTGTTGACATTGGTTGCTTTACTTAATTGCACATCTTGGGTATCATTATAATTTCTTTCTAATTTGCATGTTTACAGAAATGAAGACAGAACAAGAGCCAATTTAAATTAAAGAGGGAGTGAGAGACAGGAGAGAAAGAAAGGGAGGCAGAGAGAAAAAGAAAGAAAGAAAGAAAGAAAGAAAGAAAGAAAGAAAGAAAGAAACATGAGCAAAGAAGTGGTTGTCTGAAATAATGATATGCATGTTATTTTCCCTTTTCCAACCTGCATGCAGGGATTTGGTTTCGTTACTTTCGAAAATAGTGCTGATGCGGAAAGGGCGAGGGAGAAATTACACGGCACCGTGGTAGAGGGCCGTAAAATCGAGGTGCATGTTCAAAATATTTTCCTTTTCATCTTTTTTATAAATGTTTGCCTCACTCTCATTCGTTGTTTCAGATCCATCATTAATGTCTCTTCTGTGTTTCCCTTTTCCTTCCCATTGAGATATTTTATATATACATATATATATATATACACACACACACACACACACACACACACACACACACATATATATATGGAATATGTTATATAGTTACAATGATGACATATTATATAATACGATACAATATTGTATAATGTACACTTTTTATATATATATATATATATTATATGTATGTAGGTACGTATATGTTATGATTTCCTTTCCGTACGGTTTTTTTTTTTACATTTTTTCAGTTTTTGTTTTTTAACCATCATAATTACAGCTAAAAAAAGAAAAATTGTATGCCAGACGTGTGACAAGCTTTAATACCGTGCTATGATCTGAAAGGTTTCATAAGTTTGATGGGTGCAATAGATTTAAAAAAAAATTGGAAAAAACTTTCAAAATTAAATGTTGAAGCAAAACAATAAGGCCTTATTTTATTTGTGTGTGCCTGTGTGTGTGTGTTTAACATTTTGTTTTGTTTTGTTTCAATTTTTATTTGGGAATTCTATTTCTTTTTGGTTTTTTCCCTCCTTTTCATTGCAGGTTTGATGCAGGATTTACAGTGGCTTTCCAAAATTGCGTTTTGACTACCCCAGAAAAATTCCCATTTGAATAGCCATTCACTTAGATTCAACAAACAAACAAACAAACAAACATGGACTTTTGTTTCCATTTTGGACAAATGCCCAGCTAAGTTCCCAGAAGGTTTCAAGTTCCTTCTAATTTTCACTCTACAAAAATGATCCTCTCATTGCATATAAAGATTTATAGATAAATCTATTTATCTGTCTATCTCTATGTATAAATCCTTAAACCACTGGATCCAAGTCAACACTGCCTGAGTTGTATTTGTTAGAATCTTAAAAGCAAAAAAAAGAAAGAAAGAAAAACCAATTTAAAATTGCTGTCGTTTTTGAGTAAGATGTTGCATATTTTGCCTTTCCATTCTCCCTTTTCGGCGGTAGCTCTTAGGGCCCTCACCATCTCAGTAACCATGGTAACTGTATACATGCCCCATTCTGGCGATGGTGCTGACTGGTAAGTGGAGAAGTCCATCTACCGTTTCACGTATCTTTTCTAAAGCGCTGATATCTACCACATGAATTTTTTTGACTTGTCGTCTTAAGTTTTCTTGATGCTCTATTTTTTTTTATTATTATTATTCTATATCTATTTATCTCTATATCTCGGTACGCCTGTCAATGAGTGTCCGTTTTAAACAAGCCTTGGAGACACTGACTGAACTTAAGGATATGAATTTTGTGCACATCTTACTCAGATCGTTAATTCCATATTGTGTTAAATAATGCACCCTCTTTTTATCCTTTCGTTAGCTGTGGTTTTTTGAAAGCTTGAATGGTTTTGTTAGTTTCCTTGCAATGAATTAAATGAGGCACATGTTCCCCCAGTGTTGAATGCTACATGTTGCTTTTCCAATGGTACATTTTGAAAGGGTTATGTTGCACACTGCTAAGATTTGTCTTTTTTTTTTTACTTTTTTGTTCTCTTTTTTGATGTTACTTATTTTTCCCCCTTGCGTATCTTGTCTCTTTCCCCTTTCTACTCCACTGCATGCTCTTTCATACAGTTGGTTCTATTTTTTTAATGTTCTGTTTTTAAATATTTTATCGTTTCAGTGTTACCATGGAATAAAAAAAGCATGCTCTTAAATCTTCAATTATGCAAAGCCTTTTAATTTGCTTTTAATGTCTCTTTATTAAACTTTAAAGGAAATGGTGTTACTTTATTTAAATGATTTGTAAGTTTTATAAAATGATGATGAGAGTAAATGTAATTATAAATCGTATGATTTTGTTATGCGCCTCCTGCCTTTTATTAGTTTTATTATTATTTTTTTAATTTGGGGGAAATAAATTAAATTGCATTTTAAACATGACTAATGCCAAAAATAAAGCATGCATTCATTACTATCATGGACCTTTTTAATCTTGAAGAAGTGGTACTGATTTCTTGTTTTCTATGTGCTTAGGTAAATAATGCAACAGCACGGGTCATGACGAATAAGAAGACGGTTAATCCTTACACAAACGGTAAGAACTAGAAATTGGGTTTTTTTCTTAGTTTCCATCTCCTGGTCTGTCTAAGGTTAGGCTGTCTACTGTCGACCTCACCCCATTTCTAAGAGGTCTGTAAGAGGCATAAGCTCACCAACGTGCCTACCGTCCCTGACTTAATGTTCCCTTATATTTGTATTCCTTTCATGTATCCAAAATCATGTTTATATTTATGTATGTTATCTAATACATGTTTGACAAAATAAATAAATAAAATAAATAAAAGGTAGGACTACATAGCTTTATCCTAGTCAGCTAAAGAGCTGTGGTGGAGCATTGGTTTAGAGTGTAGTACTGCAGGCTACTTCTGCTGCCTGCAATTTTCCAGTTTGAATCTCAATCTCAAGCCTCCCATCCTTCTGAGGTGGATAAAATGAGGACCCAAATTGTTGGGGGCAATATGCTGACTCTGTAAACTACTTAGAGAGGGCTGTAAAGCACTGTGAAGCAGTATATAAGTCTAAGGGCTATTGCTATGATCCTTCCTTCCTTCCTTCCTTCCTTCCTTCCTTCCTTCCTTCCTTCCTTCCTTCCTTCCTTCCTTCCTTCCTCCCTCCCT